TTTCATATTTATTTTGAGGAAATAACATTCCCAGACTCTATGAGAACTTTGTGAATGGTAGCTTGTTTGCTGAACCATATTTGCAGTTCTTCAGGGCAGGAGATTTAAAACAGGCTTATATCTTATTAAATACCAAAACAACTATAAAACACCCCCCAAACACCAAATGATTGTTGGTCTTTTTAACATTAGTCACACTGTTCCCTTTTTTTCCATCTGGAGCACAAGTGCTGACTCAGCATCATGACAGTTCTTGGCTTTCACAATTTGTTCAGGAGACACAGGATGAATAACCTGGATGATGGCCTTCTAAATCTGAAATGGCTCAGGACTAAATGGAGCAAAGCAGAACAGACCACTGTTAAATAGGAATTTAATGGCATTGTACATAGATCCAAGGGTTTCCAGCCAGTTGGCTGGGATAAAAAACTGCTGCTTGAGCCAATGAAGCCTGTGATGCTCTGAATGATTCCTCCTGTTGGAATGTAGGACTGCTTTTGTCCTCCAGGATAATTTTATAAGGGGCTGTTATCTTATGTTTCCATTAGGCTTGCCTAACAGTTCCCATAGTGAGAAGCTGCTGTAGGGATATATGCCAGTCATTCCTTCATCCCAGCCAGTGTTCTCTTGTTGGTGGCACCTTGCTTACTTTAAGCTTCTCAGCAAAGAGGAAGGAGGAAGATTGCAAGGTCTTCCTGATAATTTTTTATTGGTGAGGGCTTTTCATGCTGGCTTAGGGCCCCTGAAGCCTGTTTAAGTAAGAGTGAATTTGGCCCAGTGACTAGACACTGAATTAAGGCCGTATTAAACTTGCAAACGATTGCATGTTCTCTTGAGGAAGATACCGAGGAGCCACCTTAGAGACTACGTTAAGGAATATGGAAATATTGACACTATTGAAATAACAGCTGGTAAAAGAGAGGTTTTGGCTTTAGTACCACAGCATCAGATTGTTAAATATTATCAATGGAATGTAAAAAAAGAAATCCAGTGCTAAAGTTGCTTCCCAAACTTTAATCCTTTCTTCTTGCTCACATCCCTCTGTTCCCAATGCAAATGGGTATTCAGCTAGCAAAGACCATAATGCTGTATGATCTCATGCTTCTCTCTTGGGTGCAAAGGAATCTGAGGCAAGTATTGTGGACATCTTGGGTGCATCTGCACGTGTGTTTTACTGCAGAGTAGACTAATTGGCTTGGCAGTAAAGCATTACTGTCTACCTGTGCACTAGTATTTGGATGCAGTAAATTAATTAACTCTGCTGTAAGATAGTACTGTCCCTGAGAGTATGTAAATTGTGTAACGGGTGTAAATTGTGCCTGGTCAGCCCAGGTAGCAGGGGCCAGACTCCTGCCCACTGCCTACCCATGCATCTCTGCACTTAAGGTACTCTCATGTCCCAGCCAGCCCCGACACCATCCAGAGCCCGGGGCTGAGCCCCACAAGCCTGCTGCTGTCTTAGGCCTGCTGTACCCCAGCTCAGATTGCTGCTGTCCTGGGTGCACGTGTAGATGCTGTGCCCAGGAGCAGTCTACTCCAGCTCAAACAGCTCTGGAATTTATCACTTCACTGTAATTGCATGTCTAGATTCACCCCTTTAGTATTAAGGTTCTGCAGACTGTGTGTTCATATGCATAGAGTTGATGATTCACTTTTAGGTGTCTGACTAATAACTGGAGTTGCTAAGCTTGTTGTGGAGGACAGTAACTAATATGTGGCCTGTGTGTGTACTGTAAATTGAAGAATATGGTCTCTGACTCATTAGAAAGGGATTATGTTGTAGGTTTGTTGTAGTAAGTGTTTGTGGTCCATCAAGATGTCAACTTGTAAACCCCAATGGGGTTGAAGTGCAATGGAAAGTGGGGTGGATAAATGGCATTGTTCTTATTATCAGATGGGTTTACATGGAGAAAGCATGAAGAAGTTCTGGCTTATGCAAAGGCAGCAAATGAGTCGGTGTCACAGTACAGAAAGGAATCCTTCTAATGGTTTTGAAGAGAAAACTTCCATTTGTAGGGCTGTCCATATAGCCTGCCTTATCAGCATTACATTCTCATAAAGTATTTAAAGGGTTGCTGTATTTAAAGGATTCCACATCTGTCTAAAATATTGCTAATGACTGTTGATACATTGTTGGACACCAGTATTATCGTAGGATATTGCAGTGTTAGGTTCTTATCTATGGTGCTCCTTACTTATCTGCATAGGGTTTCACTTATCAGCAAATTTGTGGTCTGAAGGAATTTTTCTCCAGCATATATTGGCAAGGACCTTGTGCTTTTCACTTTCCTGTGCAATAAGAGTAATAATCTGTTAGATTGCAATGTACCCCCATGATCCTATCTATTTGCTACAATCACTGAACAGCAATACCACTGGGGAGCCCTTTGGAAGACCTTGAACAGTGTTCCTGTTTTCTGTTCAGTGTTTCTGTGTATTGCTGGATGAGCTCAGTTCTGTAGTAATATTTTCACTCCCCTTCACATTGCCCTTTGTCTTCCTTTCTAGAATTTTTTCTCAGTGCTGAAACTTTAAATAACTTCTATGCTGCAGCCCTGGAGACTGGAGTGAAATGTTGATTGGTGATAGTGAATGTTGTTTTTACAAACTTACTCTAAATAAAGTGGGTGTAGGATGTTAATGCTCCTTTTATTTGGCACTTATTACAAAGGATACTTTTGTCCCTTAGAGAGAACCTTGTTTTAAAGGACAGATTCTATTCTCAGTTAATTTTCAAGCAGAAGGCATTCATGCATTTTGGAGTGTGATCTCTGCTCTTACCATATTTAGTCAAATACAAGGCAAGTTTTTTTTTTCTGCCAATCAGCATAGAGGAAACAACCTGTCATCTTACATTCACATACAAGAAAACCTCATTAAATACATTAGCTATCATTAAGCTGATGCCAAAAACAGAATGTGCTCAGTAATGGAAACCAATTATGAAGTTGATTAAACATAGCCAAGACTGAACATGACTGTGAAACACATGACCCATATTGGGCATGCCAATGGGAACCTTTTTTTTGGTCTGGCTTTTAAAAAAATGGGCAGTTGCTCCCCCAGGAGAGAACTGGCACCAGCCCTAGAGGTACTACAGTACCAGGCTGGTGCTGGGAGAGCCAGATCCAGCCCTAACAGCCCTCCCTTTGGTGGCAAAAATGCTTGATCTTAGTCAAAAGACTAAGATGCTGATGGGAACCTATTTAGTGCAGCCTACCTGAATAAGATACGTGGTAGTGCCCATTGAGTGCAGTCTCCTTCAGTGCTGACTCTTTTTCAAGTCACAGTGAACCATTACATTGAATACATTTTGACTTTTTCTTCACTGTCACGGATGAGCTGTGCTTTTCTCTGCTATTCCTGTTTCTTCACCAGCCTTAAATGCATGGCAAACATCAAATGGGGCCCCAAACAATTTACCCAGAATCCCTCTGTTGCCCCCTCTCTTAGCTTGTCACATATGATTAGTATGGGCTTGCTCTCCATCGGGTGAAACTGGACCAGGTTGCCCTGCACCTTATCTGCATAAACATGTTTGCAGCATCCCAGGACTTGTGACTAGAACACCTGGTTTCAGTTATAAGTGTGTGTGGGGGGGTAATTAGCACATGGATCCTTGGCAGCGGGGGGTGGTCTCTGGAGTACACACACATACCAAGCAGTACTGAGCTGTGGGGTCACTGTGGCTTGAAATCCTGTTGACTCTGGTGGGGCCCAGCCCAATGATATATATGGTAAATGACAAGTCTTTGGACTAATATATATATATATATAGACATATCTCTTTACAAAAAGAAATCTGCACTATATATAAGAAAGTTCCTCTTTAAAGTGTGTTTATGGAGTACCTGTGCTAAAACTTGTAGAAGTTTTTTACAAAGGCAGCATGCATTGATTTTGGATTAAATGAAGTCTATGGGTTATATATGCAAATTACTACAGCTATGTTTAAATTCAAAGTCACTGCTTTCATATTTGCTTTTCACTTCCATGTGTTCAGGGAAAGCAGGGTTTGACAGTAAGAAGGGGGGGGGGGGGCCGTGGGGCTGCAGGGGGAAGAAATTGGAAGGGAGCAGAGGGTAAAGGAGCTGACTCGCCAAATTTATTTTCTTTGCTAAAGCAGTAGGAGGGGGACAAATTCAAGGCAGACATCCAGTAAGTAGATTCTACACCTGGAAAATTAAAGCAAGTTTATACATTTTGCATATAGAAAAACTAATTATTGGGGGGTTGTCTTCTAATCAAGGTCATCTTATATTCAAGTAAATATGGTAAGTCTAATCACCTTAGTTTTGGTTAGTCAATGAAGCTTTACCAATTAATACCAATTGAGAATCTAGCCCAGTTCGTTTGTGCTGTAAAGAGCTGAACATTTCAAAAAGGTTTTCATTTTTATTTACTGCATTTTCTTGCTACAAGTGAATGGAGTCTTCACTAGGAATGAGAACAGGGAACTGGATCCAGGACATCTGGATTACATTCCCTTCTCTGTTGTTTACTACCTGTTTGAGCATCAGCAAGCCTACTTCTAACTCAATGCCTGTTTACCAGTGAGATATTCATCAGTACAGGAAACCCTCGCTATTTGCGGGTTCAGCATTCACCATTTCAAATATTCGCGAATGTTGAACCCGCATCTTAAATACACTTACAGGAGCTCCTCAGGAACTTCACGCTTGCCGCCACCGGTCTCCTGCCACCACCTCTGGGCTCCCGCTGTCACCAGTACAGCCATGCCCCCCTCAGCCACCAGGGGCACTGAGTTCATGATGTTCATGAACACAGTGCCGTATTTGTGGATTTCACCATTCCCGGAGATCTCCAGAATGGATCCCCTGCGAATGGCAAGGGTCCCCTGTATTTATTGGTCTGAAGGGGGGGGGGGGAAGGTGTACAACAAATGTCTGTGAAATATGTGGAAATTCTTGTAAAGTATTATTACAGTTGCTTTGAGCCTGGAAACTGAGTAATTTTTCTTTTGTCGTTCTAACATGTAGATTTAAACATTTCACCTGGAACATTAGGTAATTACATTCACTTTCTTCTATTTTGCATTTGATCCTGCTGTTTCATTTATCCTTATATATTTTATTAGTCATAGTACATTTAATCTCTTACACTACATTTCTTCCCCATACTCACTGAGTTTGTAAAGCTAGCTGTGTGCATGCTGAACACAAAACCCAAGCCAGTCCCCTAGAAAGATTTGAAACTATATCTTACCTGACTCCTGCTACACAGGCACTGTGTGTTTTAACTGAGGGCTATCCTTGTGCTTCTATTTACTGCATGTAGACTACACTCATTGACACCCTTCTCCTATCTAGAAATGGCTGATCTATGCATCTTTCTTTTTACATATCTTGCCAGCTGTTTGAATCCTGCAAAACCAAAGAATGGTTGTACACATTAAGTATTTGGGAAATGCAAGCATCTCAAATCACCAATGGTTGAAACAGCATAGGCTGTGTCCACTATCATAGTTTGGGGCTGCCTCCAAGGTCACCTCAGCTAGGGACATACATTACACATAAACCAGTTTAAGTCAGGGGTTTTCAACCTTTTTTAATAATTGTAAGCCCAGCGGCCAGACATGGATGTGGGGGCAGGGGAGGTGGTGCAGGGTGATGGGTGGTGGCATTCCATTCCTGCCCTTCCGCACTAACCCTTAGGACCTTCCCAAGTACCCCTGGGGGTATGCGTACCTCCAGTTGACAATCCCTGGTTTAAGCGATCAGAAACTGGTTTAAACCTGTAAGAGAACAGATGTTTAGTGCACATAAGCCAGTTTGAAAATGGCTGAAACTGGTTTGAGATAAACACGGTTGAATGTGGTGTCAAACTTAACTGATTTGGTTCAAATCGAAGTTTATGCAATGTCTGTCCTAGACCCCTTGCTGGTTTAAAATAAACCAGACCCCACCAGCATGCTCTCTGGGCTGGGTGGGGCTGTCTGCTCCACAGCAGAGCTGGTCCCTCCCCTCTGCTCCATGACTGGAGCTGTGGCAGAGACTGCAAGCATTTCCCTGGCTTCCCCCTGCTCCCCCCCCCCCACACTCCCTGCTAAGCAGGGATCATCCCTCCCCTCTGCCTTACACAGATACCTCTTAGCATTAGTTAGCAGACCATATGCTGGCTATGGTCTGTGCTGTGGCAGATGGGACAAAGGCAGTAGCAACAGGTAGCTGGTAATTTCCCTATGTTGTTTCCTTAATGGACTGATAAGCACTGAGTTTGGGGTGATAAACACCATAATATCAATTCCCTGCTGGATTGGTCAGGAGGGGTAGGGACCCCTCCCTAATCAGAGCATCCTGCTGGGACCTGGCCATGCCCCTTCTCAGCTCAGCACTATAGAAGAGAAGGGAGGGCTGCTCTGGCACCTCCCAGCTTCTAGCCTGAGCTACTGCAGGCATGTGCTGGCATTTCTTCAGTCCAGAGGGGATGTCTGAGCTGTTACAAACTGGTTTAGCCTAGCCAGGTTAGACTAACTTGCAAAGATTGAATCAATTTAGGCTCAGGCTTTTTGAATGTCTGTCCCTAGCCCTCCAGGATCATTCACACTAGCCAATTATATGTAACCCCTACCCTGAGTCTTGGTGGTAGTTCAGCTGTAACAGGTTTGCTGAGTTTCTGGGCATAACATCAGTCCTGCCTGATTCCTAGTTCTTTTCTTTCTATAAGAAAATTTGGAAATTAACCAGGAGTACAGGCCTTAAATCAAAATTAGATATTTGCTTGGGTATAGAGTTCAGGGCCTCTCAGATAGCATTTGGGGCAGACGGGGTGAAGTTTTCATTGACAAATACCTATGTGGTCCCCTCCACACCTTCCCCCTCCTGTCTGCCCTTCTCCACCACTTGCAACCCCCATGCCTGTCCCCTTTGGAGCCTGCTGGATCCTGTGGTACCTGTATCTCCTGTCATCTACCCCCTCTCCTCCCAACTGCCCTCCTCTGCTGTCTCCCCCTCCAGATGCTGTATGGCCAGGCCAGGGCCTGGCAACCATGTACTCCATGGAATAGAGCCAGAACCAGAGGTGACAGGTAAGCAGTAGTGGGAGGGTGTGTGGGGTAGGTGGGGGGAACCAGAGATGGGGGGGAAAGAAGGTGGCAAGAGACAGAAGCTGTGTTGGAGGGTGGGGAGGGAGGCAACAGGGGGGACAGAGGTAATGGAGGGGGCAGTTGCTGCAAATTCAACCCCAACTCTAGTTCAGGGCTGGAGTCAGAGCTGCACCAACTGCCTGCCCCTCACTTGTACTTGAATTACAAGACTGACAGGAAGGCCATCTCGGGGCCGGGTCTCAGCGTCGGCCCACCCACTTGTCTAGGGCAGTTTGCCCTGTCTCACCTGCCATGACTTGGTGTAATAAGTTAGATGTTGAATGTGGGAGGCTGCCCATTAAGTGCCTCAATGCCTAGGGCATTGTACACAGCTCCAACCTCTCCTATACAGTCCCATGACTCGCAGATGGCATCGCAAATTGGTAACAGCTCTGGTCTGAGGCTGGGCTAAACTCTGCCCCTTGCTGGGCCTCTTCCATTCTACTCTTGCACTCCACCCCCTCTCACAGGGCCTCAGTCATACTGCCCCTCACTGGGCCACTCCCAAACCACCACAGATCCATGTAGCCCCTTTGGGTCCCTCTTGGGCCCTACTCTATATGGCCCTTCCAGCTTTCCTACTGGCACTCTGGCCGGCCCACATGGAGCCCTTCAGACCCTGTGGCCACTGGCTTTATGCCTCACACTGGGCTGAACCCAGCCACTAGGCCTTCTCCAGGCAACTTGCTTCTGTTGTCACTCATATGAGGATTGGCCCATGTGCTGCCCTTCATGCGGCCCCTGCAACCCTACTCTACACCCATCACACACAGTCCTTCAAGTGCCACTGTGCTCCCTACTCTGTGTGGGCCACCACACAAATACTTCTGTCCCCTCACTAGAGGTGCTCTCTCTCTCTGCCCCTGCTGTGGGACCTCTGGGGTCTTACACCCCATGGGCTCAGGTGTCCACAGATGTGCCTACCCGCCCCCCCACATGCCTGGTACTGCTCTAAAATTACCCACTGGGTAGTGGGAGCTGGGGTTATAAGCAGGGAATCCTAATTTTCCTCTGATAAAAAATAATCCCCAAATTTTGGATATAGAAAAGTAACCCAAATTCCACATTTTTTTCCATGATTAAATGAAACAACGTACATATACATATACATATTAGTGGCATTTCATTTTAATCATGGAAAAATGTGGATTTTGGGTTACTTTTTTATATCCGATAATTGGGAATTTTTTTAGTTAGAGAAAACCAGAATTCCTAGTTATAAGGTGCCCCTGCCTGCCTTTCACTGGGAAGGTAACTGGCCTGGGATTTCTGGGGAACTACCCTGCCACAGGCATGCCCACCAGGCCATCCTTCCCCATCAGGGTGTAGTTTTTGGTCATGCCCTAGGTCCAGGAGCTTCCTGCCATCCCCATAGGTCCTGCCTTTACCTCCAAGGATGTTCTGAGCAGCCAGTTAGCCAGGTGGTGTTCTTTTAGCTGCCCATAGCAGACTGCTGGCTCAGCCTTGAGGGCCTGAGTTAAAATGGAGGCTGCTTAGCCCCCTCCTCCAATCACACAGCCCTCCTGCTGTCATGTTACCACCTCATCAGGGCTGACCTGCAGCTGCCAGCTGCCCCACTGCCACTCTAAGCCCTTAAAGTGGCAGGCACCAAAGGTGATCTGCCACAAAGACAACAGGCTTTTTTTCCCAATTTTAAATGGGTGCGGGGCAACCTCATCTTGGATTCAAGTAGATATAGTATTTTGTAGCCTCTATATTTTAGATTCATCTGGTCTAAGCAAATATGATTGGATAGTTCATTCTGTATAGTAGAATATGTTGTCTAATATTTTGAAACATGACATTTTTATGATTTCCTATAAATCAGCAGCCTGTTTTTGGCTAATAAAATGCAAACATTCATTTTTTCCAGGAATTATCAAGTCTCTAGTTCATATGTCTGTAGTATCACCTTATTTATAATAGGAAGCTTGTGCTTCCCATCTTGAATTTATTATAATGCATTTTCAGGCATCCATAAAAGATTTCATGCATGGTATACGTTCTTTTAATGGGTTATGCACCAGCTAAAAAGATCTCATACAGTAAAGCTGCCTTGCTTTTGGTCTTGTCTTGGCTTCATGATATGAAGGTCTAAGTGAGATGTTCTATTCAACATGTGTATTTTTAACAGAATTATTCAGATAACAGTTACAACTTTGAAACTCTAAGTTGTACTCTAGGGGTAGTAATTAGTAATACTGCCCCTTGGGAAACATTTATAATTGCTGTTACTTGTCACAGTTTGTGTTTTATAAACATCTTGAGCTGATTTCTAGTACTCCCATTATCCTCAAATAGATCTGCAGTGTACATATAAATGCCATGTATTCTGAGAATATTGTACTTGTATTTCAGAATGGAGTCCCCTATCTTACTCTTGTGGTGGGATGCTGTTGTATTCTGCTTCTAACAAAAGATTCCACTCTCAGGCTGCATGGAGGGATAAGGGAACTTTCCCCTTCCAATATTCAAACAGGCATGGAAAATAGTTTTGCTAATCTGATTCTTGTTTTCCAGTGCTACATGGCAGGAGTGTAACTTCAGGGATCGTTAAGGGGAAAAAGAGTTCTAAATCTTCTGATGGACAGACAGAAACAGAATTAAAGTGACTTTCTCTGAACAAACCCAGCTGACCGAATTTATGACTTTTTGTGGGGTCCCCTCTAAGCAAGGAATTTTAAAATATTGGTCAAAAATTATTGTGGCGCCTGCAGTTTCAGTGCTGGGAAACATAGCAGCTATAAGACTTAACTGCATCTAAGGCAGAATCCTCTCTATGGCTGTATATAGTACTATAATTGTTTCAGAGGAAGGTGTATGAATCACTGTAATGGGCAAATATTGAATCATTTGCCAGAGAGAGGAATTTCTTAGTAATCCCCCATCAGTCAGTTTCTGGCTTTTTCCAGGAAGCTTGAGGATTTCTCTCACTCTTTTTCTCCCCTCCCCTCTATGTAACTATGAATTTTCACATTATTCAAATACATGTTTATTATATGAAAATCTGTATATTTATGGGGGGGTTCAAAAAAGGCAGGAGCTAGACTGTTCTTAGTGGTGGCAGATGACAGAACAAGGAGCAACAGTCTCAAGTTGCAGGGAGGGAAGTTTAGGTTAGATATTAGGAAGAATTTTCTTACTAGGAGGGTAGTAAAACACTGGAACAGGTTACCCAGAGAGGTTGTGGACTCTCCATCCTTGGAGGTTTTTAAGACCCAGCTAGTAAAAGTCTTGGCTTGCATGATTTAGTTGGGGATGGTCCTGCTTTGAGCAGGAGGTAGGACTAGTCAGTGGTTCTCAACCTTTTTTGTACCAGGACTCATTTGTAAACATCACTAGCCACTTCTGACTCAGTGCCCCTCACTCCTGACCTGCTACCTCCAGGCCCCAGTCCCACAGTGGGGCAGGGTGTGTGTGTGGGGGCAGGCATTGGGGGCCCCAAGCAGCCCCTTGCAAGGCAAAAGCCACAGTTTCCCACATTTTTCTCCTTTAAAGTAAAATCCATTTTTAAAGTTTGTTGATCTGTTTTCAAAGTTTGTTCATGACCCTTTCATATATTCTTGCAATCCACTTTTGGGTCACGACCCATGGGTTGAGAAACCCTGGACTAAATGACCTCCTGAAGTCCCATCCAACCCTAATTTTCTATGATTCTGTATCAGTGATTCAGATTAAAACACAGCAGTGCAACACCCACTAGAGAGACCTTTAGAAAAGAGATCTTCTCAAGGAGTCTTTCCCGCCCACTTAAAGGTTCCTTTACATGGGCCAGATCTCTTGCTGAACTTGCTGTGTTAACTAGGCAGTTACTTCCACTGACATTCATTTTTTTGAACAAGGATAATCAGCAAATTAAAAGAACATAATGAAACGCACTGAATAAGTAAATAATATTTTATGTTAAGATTATGCAAAAATAAGATGTGCAGCAAAAGCTCTGTTATTCAGCACCCATAGGGAATAGAGGGTACTGGATAACCAAATATACCAGTTACCTGAGAGGCATCTCTGCCTCGTCGGGCCACCATCCTTCCCACCACATCTGGTGCACCAGGCTTTCACTCCCTGGTGTCAATGTGCCAGAGGACAGGGAGGGGGGCCCCACACAGGCTGCTTTACCTCAGGCCATGGCCCAAAGTCAGTGAAGTGGACTCAGTGGAACTGGAAGTGGGGCTTCTGGTTTTGCTTTTGCCGTGTTGACCAGCATGCCAGTTAATAGAACATGCTGGTTAATAAAGTGCCGGATAACACAGCTTTTAATGTACTAAGCATGGACAGAACTTCAATGGAACTTGAGTGTAAAGATCCTCGGTAGTCATTGACCCTACAACCAGAAGTTCTAACTAGTTCCAAACACTGCAGAGTGAACTACTGTATTCAGTGCCTCAACTTTTTTACTTACAACATTTGATCCTTTACTTTAGTTGAATCACAGGAAGAGCTTACCATGCTAGTTTTCTGATGTCTGGAAAAGTAAGGAGACTATTCCCATCTTACACAAGAATTCCAAGCTAAGACTGGGTGAGAATCCCCAGAAAAATAATTTAAATACCAAAAAATATTACTGTCTCCAATCAGGGAAGGAATGTTCATTTCATTTCAATTTTATGAATTTTTACTACATTAGCTTGTATTTAAAACAAACATCATTGTAAATTAGGAAGCCAAAATAATTCACTGCAACAATTTCAAAAGCTATTGACTTGAAAAAATTAGTTGAAATCAAACTTTAACCACACACATTTTCATTTTGACCAAGCTGTATTTTCCAATGAGAAGAACATTTGATCAAAAAATTCCCAAGTAGCTCAGCTGCCAGCCTCTTGTACCTTACTGTTATTATCTTTTGCATTACTATAGTATCTAGAGGTTGTGCTGGGAGTGCTGGATACACAGTAGGGCTGTGTGAAACAGCAGCATTCCGTTTCGACCAGCGTTTC